AAGACAGAAGACAAGGCATCATATGAAACAAAATGAGAAATGAGATGATTAGTAACACACGAACGAGTACCTTTGCAAAGAGTAATATGTAAAGAATCTAAATTACCTGATGTACCAGGATCAGAAGGCGGCAAGGAAGACGGTATGGGCACCTCAGTCGATGGGCAAGGACGGCGAGAGTATACACGAAGAGGTAAAGTAGATAGAAACACAGTGGACAGCGGAATGTCTGAAGATGAGGGAAGAGATGATGGTACAAGAGATGATCCAAAGGCTGAGAAGGTGCTGGAAAGTATGAAACAGATTCTTCAAATGTAACATCAACACTAGTAAAGTATCGGTGCAGAGAAGGACTATAGCAACGATACCCCTTCTGCGTGCGTGAGTAACCAAAAAATACACATTTGGTAGCTTGAGGGTCAAGTTTTTAAAACGAGGACCCAAATTATGAACATAAGAGACACATCCAAAAACCTTAGGAGTCAGGAAAAATAAGGACTTACTAGGAAAAAGGACAAAATATAGGCTTTGTCCATTTAACACAGAGGATGACATACGATTAATAAGATGACAAGCAGTAAGAACAACATCACTCCAAAAATATCGGAGAATATTCTTCTAGAATAACAAGGCACGGGTGACTTCCAACAAATGACGGTTCTTGCGTTCAGCAACACCATTTAATGGAGAGGTGTAAGCACAAAAAGTCAGATGAATAATGCCAGTTTTACTAAGGTAAGTTGAAAAAGGATCAGATTCATATTCTCGAGCATTATCGAACGTAAAATACGGATACGACAACCACACTGAGTTTTTATTTCCTTACAAAATGTCTCAAATATAAAAAATAATTCAGACCGAGCTTTCATCAGAAACAACCAAATTACACGAGAATAGTCATCCACAAATGACACAAAATAAGAATATTTATTAGATGAAATATTCTTTATTAGGCCCCATAAATCAAAATGTACCAACTCAAATGAACTAGACACACAATTATTGACTCGAGACTGAAATGACACAAGGCGATGCTTACTAAGTTGACAAACTTCACAAGACAAAGACGGCACAAAACTAAGACTAGGAACCTGACGCTTTAGATTCTGGAGAGAGGGATGTCCAAGATGACAATGCCACTGAAAAGGAGACAACGAGGTCTGTAGAGCCCGAGTAGGTGAATCAAAATCAAAGTAATATAGGCCACCAGCTTCATACCCCGTACCAATCTTCCTCTTCGTCTTAAGATCCTGAAAGACACAATAAGAAAGATAAAAGATTACAGAACAATTGAGAGGAACGGGTAATCTTGCTAATGAAAAGTAAACTAAAAGGAAACTGAAGAACAAATAATACGAAAGACAGGGATATATCAAGACTCAAGTTAGTAGTCCCCAAACCTAAGACTTTAGAACAAATGTCATTAGCAAGAATAACACTACGTGTAGAGGTAACAGACTGATAAGTAGAAAAAACATCAGACGCACCAGTCATGTGATCAGAAGTGCTAGAGTCTATGATCCAGGGACTGTGATTGGAGGACAGTAAACAAGTGGAAGAAAAACCTAACTAGGCAAAAGTAGCAGTGAAGGGAGATGAAACAGCTTGTTGCTGGGATAGGAACTAGGCATACTCTTCTCGAGTAATAGTAACCAATCCAATGTCTTGCTTGAGTTCTATAATAGTGCAAAAAATAGCAAACAAGAAGTGCTACAATGCCGAACCAGAAGAAAAGAGGATGCTGGACCGTTGAACCGGGCCTGTTAAGGCTGCTGGAATACTGAACCGGTATGGAAAACCGGCCTGAACCACTAAACCGAGCCTGTTAAGGCTGTTAGAGTCCTGAACCGGACTGGAAACCCAGTCTAGTCCACTGAACCGGGCCTGTTAAGGCTGCTTGAGCCCCGAATCGGACTGGAAAATTAGCCTGGACCACTGAACCGGTCTAACTGAGCCTTTTGGACTGCTAAACCAAACTGGAAAAGGGGGCTGAACCACTGAACTGATCTGGCTGAGCCCTCTGGACTATTGAACCGGATCGTTTTACTTGCTGGATCAAGGAACCGGGCCAATTTGACTTCCTGAACCGCTGAACCGGATCAGCTGGACCCTCTGGAAGACAGAACCGGACCGACTAAGCACTCTAGACCATAGTTATTAGTATCGTACGATACGCGATACGTATCGTACGATACGTCACGGTACAGGACTAAAACGATACGGATCGTAATTTTGTATCGTTTTTGTGTTGTATCGTCCGATACACGATACGATACGAACGATACGCGAATTCTCTGTTTAATTTTTTTTTTTTTGTTGACAGCACCAAATCAGTTCGATTTGTACCAAATCGTTGGCAGCAAAAACAGAGATGAAGAAACCAAGCCCATAAATCAAAGAATATAGAAAATGCCAAAAAAAAAGGCAACAGAGATGAAGAAGACAAGAATTACTGGGCAACAAATCAGCAAAATACTCAAGCAAAAGCAAATCAAACAAATTTTTGAAATTAAAAAAAATAACAACACTAACCTGGATGAAACCCTAGGTCTCACGATCTCTCTCTTCATTGCTTGAGCTGCAACCACGAGTACCAGCAACCAGGTATCTTCTTCTTCTTCTTCTTCTCTCTCTCTCGGCATCGCCATCGCCATCGCCAGTCACCTCTCGCCTCTTTTCTCTCTGTCTCGTTTCGTTCGTAAGTCTATGACTCACGACTGTGTTCGACTGTGTTCGTTTGTTATAAGTAGGAAAATATATTTTATACTCCACTATATTATAACTTTTTACTTTTAAGTATATATAAATACCAATAATTTAATTTGATACCCTTAATTATTTTTTTAATATTAATAAATTATATTGGTGACTTGAATAATATGTGAAATATTAATGAAATGTTATGTTTTTATGAATCTATGTTTTTTTTTCAAAAGTATATATATTTTATTATTAATTATTTAAAATTACGCCGTACCTTATGATACACGATACGCGATACGATACGATACACTATTTTAAAAAAACGATACACCTGCCGATACACGATTTGATAACTATACTCTAGACCACTGAATCGGACCGGACCAGTCTAAGCTGGACCGAGTCTTGAGTTGGACCGAGATATAACGTGAACTGGACTGTGGGTTGGACCACTAGACTTGGATCACTGGATTTGGACTTGGACTTAAAATAATTTAAGTCAATGGGCTTGACCCGATCTAACCCAACTTGTCTTCTTCTTCGTTGAGATTAGGGTTCCCAGAGAACCCTCTTCTGCGACTGCCTCACCACCAACGACGAACAACAAAAAACCACCCGCCTCACCACCACTGACGAACAACAAAACCACCTGCCTCACCACCAACGACGAACAAGCGACACCACAACAATGCCACACCACAGACGACAACGAACAACCACAACACAGTGAACGAACTTCAACCCACCACAATCGACCACCACCGACAAATACAGTACCACCACAACAAACCTTCAACAAACACAATAACACCACAACAAAAAAAAAAAAATTATTCAAAATATATATTTATGATTGTAACGCTCTGATACCATGTTAAGTTTTGAGGATTAACATAATATTAGAAACAATATTTAGAGAGAAACAAAGAGAGGTTAAACTTAACCTAACTCTCATACATCACTTGTAATTATAGTTAACTCACAATAATAAGAATTACACATGATACCCTAACACTATTAATAATTTATACATACTACCCTAATACATAGTTGTTAGTATCGTACGATACGTGATACATATCGTACGATACGTTACGATATAAAGGTAAAACGATACGGATCATAATTATGTATCGTTTTTGCTATGTATCGTTTTTACGTCGTATCGTCCAATACAAGATACGTTTTTACGATACGATACGACTGATACGCGCAAAGCCTGTTTTTTTTTCTGAAACGATGTCATTTTGTCTAAATAAAACACTAATTTTATCCCGCAACTGATGAAACGACGTCGTTTTGTCTAAATAAGACACTAATTTATTTTTTTTTGTATAAAAATTTCTGAATCTTGATTAATTTTATAGATTGAGTTCAAAATGGATGATAGAAATTTGGATTAAAAGTCTCTTTGGTGTTTGAAGTTTTAATTAGTAAACTATGGTTGTAAACTTTGCATTATAATATTAGTGAACTATATTGATGACTTGAATAGGTGGTAGAGTATTAATGATATGCTATATTTTTATGAGTATATAATTTTTTTTCAAAGGTATATATATATTTTTATTATTTATTTAAAATTACACCGTATCTTTCGATACACGATACGATACATTATTTTTAAAAAACGATACACCTTCCGATACATGATTTAATAACTATGCCCTAATACTCTTAACATTAACAATCAGTTTCAGTTGGTTAAAATGCTCTTAATCTGTGAATCTTATTATCGTTGCACAAAGATAGATTAGCTTCTGTATACCTACATTCCACCTCCATCCTTCCAACTTTTAGACATAAGCCTTTTCAAACTCTTGTATCCATATCACATGATTTTTGTGTTTTGATGAGTACAACAAAAGAGAAGCAGTGACAAAAATTTAGCAAATCTGTATATCTTACTTCTCAAGTGACACTTCGATAATTTGAAAGAAAAAAAAAACCAACTCTTTGTAAACTGTAACCAGATACTTCAACTCTATGCTTTTCAAAGCCATAAGTTGTAAAAAGAATGGAACTACGAAGATTACATCCATCCTAATGATAACTATAATATGTCTGTATTTGCTGACAAGTGAAAAGGGCAATGTGAGTATATGCAGTAAACTAAACTTGGATTAAAGTGTTGGAAGTATTTTACCTACAACTCCCTCCTAACAATACAAAACCCAAAACCCAAAAAATATTCACACGGTACACCAACATATAAACTACAGCACTGAATATTAAATGCATTCCACTGCCATCTAAGATTTCATGCAATCTAAACCCATTACACTGCCGTTAACTGTTCTACACTAGTATTATAATTTGATATCGCTCACACAGTAGGATGTGTAGTGGAGTCAGACCTAACTTTTGGCATTTTTGCACAAAGAAACTGCTCTCTAATTCAAACCCACACCCAAGCACTTTCGCATTGCATTAAGCAATAGCCCCTCAATTCTTTTCATAGTACCAATTATAATTACAGTTCACTATACCACCAACCAAAAACCCTAATCACTCAATTAGTAACACACTCCACACAAGACCATACAATCACAAACTATACATCAAGTCTCCAGAAAATTCAAGTAATAGCACCAAATAGCCAACCCTGGATTGAGATTGTAATATAAAAATTAAATTTTCCAAAACCGTTCAATTTTTTCACAGTTTACCTGATTCAAAATGAAGCTCTTGCCCTGCCGAGCGCGACCACAGACGGAGACTACCCCAATTGGCTCTTTGACGAGCTGAAGAATTGCGACTGCCTCAGGATCCATCTGGAACTTTCCTTTCTCGTCACAATACACTAGACGGATCGGCCTCGCCGGACCAGCACTGGTGATGGCGGCTGCTTCCTGCGGAGGAGGAGGTGGTAGTTCCGATGTCGCCGGAACCTCTCCTGAAGAAACTCCTCATCTTCTCTCACTATGCTTTTGCTCGTTGCTCTGTCGCGGTAGTGCGTGTGTGCGTTTTTTTCTCTGTGAGAGAATTGAAAATTGGGGAGGGAAAAGGTGGTCTGAGAGAGAGAAGAATTCGGATTTTATACGACACCGTAGGGCCACCGGCTAAACTCCGTTGAAGTTGAATTTACTATTTTGGCCTTCGTGTTGAGATGTTGTGGTTTTTGAGGAAGAGGTTATTTTGGGCATTTAACGTGGAGCATGTATATAGTGTCGGAGTAACTGCGTGGTTGGGAAGCAACCATGAGACTTCGCCATTTGGAGTGGTTTAATAATCACATTTACCCCCCAAACTTTGTGATCAATTACAACTAAACCCTTAATCTTTATTTTTGTCTCAATTAATTCCTCCAACTACCTAAAAAGTTCAATGCAACCCTTCCATTTAATTCAATCTAAAATCCTGATAGAAAAACACATAAAAGTTAGTGAGGTTTTGTAGGTAACAAATAAAAGTTAAAACCAGATTTAGTCCCCAACCTTTACATCTAGTTTATTTATTTTGCCTCAATTAAACTCTTCAAGTTCTTAGAACATCTCCAAGAGAATAGTTAAATCTCCAAAATAGCTAAAATTTAGTTATTCAAAGATAAAAACTATGCAATTTTGCTACATGATGCTCTATATTTGGAGTATCATTGTAGCATCATGTATAAATATTCTTCTCCTATCCTTTTTCACCTCTCTTATCCATTCTTTATATTTTTCTCAATTCTTTCTCTCTCTTCCTCCAACATTTCTAACAAAGGTATAAAATATGAGAAATAATATTTAAAGAAGTAGTTAAAATATAAAAAATTTATTGGAGTATATATTGAAGAAGTGAGAAGCTTAAATATAAAAAGTGTACTTTTAGATAGTTAAAATACAAAATTTTGTTGGAAAGCATCTCTAACACAACATGTAAAACTCCAAAATAGCTAAAATTTAATTAAGTAAAGATAAAAATCATGTTCCTACAAAATATATTTAGATGTTCTAAAATAGTTTTTTGTTACAGTGATACTCTAAATATAGAGCATCACTATAACAACTTGTATAAATATTTTATAATTTTTTCTCTCTTCGCTTGTCATTTTTCACCTTTCTTGTCGACTTTTTGTCTTTCCCTCCATCCTCTCTCTCCCTTTAACGGTCCCAAGAAAAAAGTGAATATATAAAATAGAAAAAAAATATATTTTTGGATAGCTAAAATACAAAACTTTGTTACAGATGCTCTTAGAATGACTCCTCCAACTTCATCAAAATAGTGGATAGTGAATGGTCATCTCACATAACTAATTTGTGTGTTCAACGTGATTTCATGTCATCAACCAATAAGAATACACTATGTAGGATAACTAACTAAAGTAGTGAACTTCAATACTCCATTATTCCTATTCCAATGTGTTAGTTAGTCGCTGGGGTTGATTATTGAAAGTTATTAAACTAGTGAGATCCACTTATTTTATATGATGTATTTTTATTGATTTTTGATACCACATATCACCAATGAAGTGATATCATTGTTGTAATCAATATTTTCTCATGTGTGTGAGAGGAGGGGGGGGGGGGGACAACACAGAGTTCACTTGCCCATGCAATTTTTTATTTATTTTTTCCCATTCCTTGACTGATTCATCTCTACAAAACAGCACATTAATGCTTTTATTTTGATAATTCTAGACTTTTTGTGTCTTTAGGAATGTCTATTATGAAAGATCACCAAGATCAAAACCAATGCATAAGACAACCACGAGAAACTTACCCACAAATTTTTAGAAATTGTATACCTGCCAATACAAAAGCAATCGCCAAGCCTGCGGTGAGGAAAGTTTAAAACCATAGATCCAGAGAAACTTTTCGGGTTCACATTCGAACTAGCTAGATAAAACTATATATCTGACATTTTTCAAATTTTACAATAACGAGAAAATCGTGCACGAGACAAGCTTTTTTTAATTTGTGTTAGCTGGAGGAGAGCTCAAATATTCCTGAGTTGTCTGAGTTACTTGAAGTGAGAGAACATGATTTCTTGTTTGTTTGCAGTGGAATTTGTTCATCTAAAGCTCCAAGAGAAAGCACTCTTCTGATTGTTTCAAGTGCATCATTCATTGAACAAACTCTGTTTGTTTGAGAGTAAGAATTTGAGGTCCCTCCTTGGAATTCAAGGTGTCCATGTTCGTCTACAACTTCACTTTCCCATGGGGCGAACCCATTGTTGTAGTTAAAATAACTGATCTTCTCCATTAAATCTTGCTCGAAGTACCCTAGATCATAGGAAGATGAGGTTCCAGTGTTGTTGTTCTTTGGGTTCTCTTGTCTCTCTCTCACAATGTTGCCCTTTTGGCGAATACGGCATAGAACCCAATCATCCAACTACATACAGAATATGAAAATACTCTTTTTAGATATTTTGCATCATCAATAATTTAAACAATCCCTTTGAATAAGTTAAACATCAATGTGTGTGTGTATATATACACATGCGAAGTGTGATTTTTTGTATAAAGTACTAGAGTTTGTTTTTAGTCTATTTTTAACCAATTCTAAGTTTGAGTCGGATAAAAGTGATATGATCCCAATAAAAGTCTCGTAATTGGACGATTGATTTACAGGTTTTAGAAATAAGGAAGAAAATAACAACTAATGTCATAACTCTAAGAGTGAAATGACAATATTCAAGATATTTTTTGTCGAGTTAGACTGACTTTAGTTCAAATAATTGAAATACGATCGTAAACCACCACCCTTCCGCAAGGTGGGGATTCAGACCGATGAGGGACGTACGTAAGAATTACCCTTTAACTGCTCAAGAGCCTCTAGGTGGTCGGGTAATTCAATCCCATGATGCTCAAGGAGTTGGATGTCGTATTCTAAGGATTCGACTATTACATCGTAAAGTGGGTCTAGATTTTGGTTATACCAAAAATGGAAAAGGAAACCACTATAATTTGACTAACAGTAATGTTATATTAACCAAATTTTGATATCAAATTAAGAGTCTAAATAACATGACAGTTGACTTTGGCATCTTTATTTGGTGTCATGTCATTTGGACCCCAATAAAAACTCTAAATAATATATTGTCATATCATTTAGGCTCTTAATCTAGTCCCAAAATTTGATCAGCATAATATTACTCTTTGACTAATTATTGTAGATGCTCTTTGTGAATAGGGGTCAAGGGCAAGTTGATAAACCATGCTTATGCTACACAACAATTACCTATTATTCTTTTAGACAAGTTTCATACTAGTATAGATACAGTTGAACTTACTCTCATTGATCCTCTTAGCCTCAAAGAACCATGGCTGTCATTGAGAAGCCTATACTCATACATCATCCAGTTGGTTTTTGTGCCTTTTGGAGGGCGACCTCTGTAAAACACAAGAGCCTTCTTCACTCCAATACGCTGTGATGCATTAGAGGAAAGGATCGGTTTATCGGTTCCCGTTGCTTTCCAATAGCCAGATGCAGCAGCTCTGTTGGGACGAGAACCATTTGGATATTTCCGATCCCTCGGGCTGAAGAAAAACCATTCATTCTCACCAAAGAAGGCCCTCTCTGCACAATGGGAGAGAAGACAATTATAAGCAATGAATAAGGGTATGTCGTATAGTCTTTGCTTCTTCTTTTTGGTACCTATATATGATGTTTCTTAAAAATAATGATATTATAATGAAACTCAAAACGCGTTTCAAAGGGTTAAAGGAGCAATTCTCATTAGAGACGAGCTCGTCGCCATCTATTCCACAAAATAAAAGGTCTCTCAACAGAGAGATTAGGTTCGAAAATGAATAAAAATGGACTCACCAGGAAGTTCCCATGGATTAAACTTGTAGAGGTTGATTTCAGCTACGATAGAAACTAAGGGATTTGTAGAAGAAGACGAGACCTTCTTGTTCAGATAATGAACAATGAGCTCCTCGTCGGTGGGATGAAACCTGAAGCCTGGTGGGAGGGACATGTTGAGGGCTTCCATTAGGAGATTGAAGAAGATATTTTGATGTTCTTTCAATGTAGAAGGAAGAATATATATAAATTGTATGGTATGTGGGAGATATCACCCGCCATTATTTAAAAGTTTGTTATGTCGACATTTGTTGTCTTGTACTCTATGTACGGTTTTAGTGATTGGTTTACGTAGTACTTTATGTTCTATCGTCTGAGAAAGTCATCCGTCTATTATATTTTTTCATGCAAAACACTCAAATTACAATAGTATGCAGGCCTCACAATTGTAGTGGGTGGAACTATTTCATGTTGGTGAAATAAATTTGTGTCAAAATTTTTTTTATTCATATTCCATTTGTTTACTATCACACTCATACATGACTCATTTATTAGACGAGTTATCTGATACAACCAATATGCCACCAGTGAGTACCAATTTGAGTATTTTGAGTCTATATAAAAAATTATCAACTCGTCACATATTACACATATTTAACCTGTTTACTATAATAATAAATCATGACTGAAAAAAAAAATAAAGACAAAAAATAAACATTAAATCATTACCAAATTCGAATACGTTTGAGAGATGGGGGATGTAAGATGAGGTTGAGAAACCTAATTTTTTTTTTGAGTTCATAGTACCACTGTTAACGGGTTAAACGAGTTGAAATGTAAGACGATGACATGTTTTTTACTCTCATTAGTTTTGTCACATGATTACATGATTCATAAGACTCGATTATACACGATTACAAAAAAGTTAGACATGAGTTGAATATATTTTTATACGATATTACTTGCAAGACTTAAAAACATAATATGACACAATTCATTGACAATCCGGTACAACTTAATTTGCAAATCTAAACACAATTCGTGAACCCAATACGAAATGGACTCCAAGTTGGCTGGTTTGAGCTTAACTTTAGTGAATTCATGTGATAAACGGGTGGATCCATTATATCCATCAAATAAAAAAGTCACTACAAACACAACTAAAATTAACTTATTCATGCCCCTAATCGGAAACGATACAAGTTTGACTAAAAATTATTATAAATAGACCGGATATGAATTGAGTAATTTTTAGATGATACAATATACACGACTTGAAAACACGACAATACAATTCTCTGTATCTTACCAATCCTGTAAGCAAAGAAGCATCTTGAATAAGCTTCCATGATAACCTGTCTCCACCTTGGATGTAGTTTTCAGCAAAGAGTATCTGTTTTACAGTGCCTTGTAAACTTCCAACAACCATGTAATTTCCCAACATATTACATTTGGAGTAAAATATTTCATAGTTTTTTCCAAATTTGGCTAATATCTTCTAACTTGCTGCCCAGATAGAATCATCAATGGAGTGGATGTTAAAGGAAAGCGACTTCATGTACGACAACATTATCTTAAAATTTTAGTTTAGACAATGTAAAACAAGGTTGATGTAGTTGTTTATTCCATGGATATATTTTGTTTGGCTGTAATCTCTTATTAAATCGTCACAAAACTTTTATGTCACAATCCACATACGCATTAAAATTGTTTTCAGACAACAAAAAATGTAGTTCACATGTGTCTAGGGTGTGAAAATATGACACGATCTGTTAACATGATACAAAATTAAAAGATTTGAGTCTTCTTTAAGTCATTCGTTTAATAAACGAGTGGAGTCAACACAACATGATTAATAAACAAATCGGGTATGAGTGAAATCAATCAGAACAAATATATGACACGACTTATTTATAAACCAACTATACACAGTCAATACACGATATGAACCCAATTTGACACAATTCGTTAGACACGAATTAATAAACGAATCAGGTATGAGTTGAGTGTTTTTTGATATGAATTCGCCTAGACTCCACATGAATCCGCCACACCCAATACGATTTTTTTTTTTAACCAACACGATTTACAGGTCTACATGTGTGCGAGAGAGAGAGAGAGAGAGAGAGAAAAATTCAAACAAACTATTCACACCAGTGTGCAGATCTAATACTACATCATATGGCGTAATATGTGTAAGCTGGCTTATAGTATGAGATTTGAATCATCATCACAATATGTATTTTACAATTGCTATCGGATTCATTGACCCCCTGAATGGTGGGATGAAAGCATATATGGGATGGTAGCAACTACCGCGGTGGAAATCATCATAGAGAATACCACATTGCTTGGGTGAGAAAGGGTTTCAAAGATGATGTTTAGACGCAAATGATCGAAGTGGATTGTGGTGACTCAATTCTATACTATTGGGTGAAATATATCGGTAATTTGTGTTACAAGTTTGAGTTTTGTATGTTCATTAATCGTACAATACGATTAAAACTTGTATGAATATAACCCAAAATAGATAATATGATACAATACGAACCAAAAATGGGAAATATAACAACCATAACGTGGATTTGTTTTTTGAGTTTTGGAGTTATTTATGAGGCACATAATTTGTATTCATGGATGCAAGAGAAATAGATCACGTAGGTAGTGACGTTTAAAGGTGCAGCTAAATCCAATTTTAAAGGATTCATTAATTCATAAATCACAATGGCTGTGATTTTGAAGAACAAAACCAAAATTAAACAGTATATGCATATATCTGGGAGTATATTCCGTACGGCTGATTCCCTTATTGACCACCCAGTTTTTGTCATATCGAAAGGTTTTTAGTGAATTAACACCCCCCCCCCCCAAAAAAAATATATAAGGTAATAGAATTCATAAAAAAAAATTCGGTCGATACTGAGAAATGATTCGTGGGTTATACCCATGAATTTCACTTTAAAATACCTAAAATAACAAAGGTATAAGAAAACTTTGAATATATCACAATCTTATCCGTCAAAAGAAAAAAGTACGATACTAAAACTAATTTTTCGGTATCATGGTTGAACTAAAACCGCATAGTTGTTGGAAATGGTAAGCATGATGATGGGTTACTGAAGGGGTTAAACCTTATGATTACACGTGACATAACATTAAATGTGCTCACGTGATGTTGATAAGATCAGCCATGTGATGAAGGATCTTCTGCTAAGATCTTTCTAACCGAGCCGAACTCATCAGCCCGTTCAACTAAGCAGGATAAGAGCTTGGCTTGTACCAAGCCAGGTCCGTCAAAGTGCTTGGCAAAGCAATTGAAGAAATCAGTTTGTACCAAACTAAGCTTCTTGATCTGTTCGGAAAATGTCAAGTGTGCTCGGAGTTCGATATGTCCGAACTGTTCAAAACGATAAATGAAAAGTTAAATATTCGCCTAAATCCTAGGCAATCAGATAAACGAAATCGATTAGATTGAAGATACGAAGAGAAATTGTTGGAGAAGTGTCAGTAATTTCTCAAACTCAACCATTGAATTAAAGGAAGGTGTGTCATCTTGAACCTAAATTCGAGGAAACCCTAAGGGGATAATGATCTATAAAAAGCACAAAAGACCAAGGTGAAAGGTACGTTGAATTCTCCTTATCTTGGTGCAATTCTCTATGTTCCATTACTAAATTAAGCATCGGAGTGCCTTCGATCGAAGCACTTTGATCTTAGACAGTTTATTCGTTTTGTAGGAAAGAGATTTGGAGATTGTTCAGTATTCTTTTCCATAAATCACATCGCAAATTCACCATCAGAGGTATCTCCGATTTTTTGCCTCTACATTTTAGCGCCGTATGTGGGAATTCAATTCTCAACTTTCAGAACAAAAAGCTGCGATGTTAAGACTGAGGAGCGCAATTGGATCACCCGTAGGCAATTTTGCCTTGGAAAATTATGATCCTACGCCTCTTCCTTCTAATAGCAACGCAAGGTTACATGTAGTCAGAAGTCCCTCCAAAATCCACGAGGATGACGAAATATCCTCTGCGAGTTTCAAGCCATCGAAAAATCAGACCATCAAATCGAGGATCATGGTAAATCCCTCTGTACCGAGGGGAAGAACCACTCTTTAGCAAAGTTGGTCCAGTCCCTGCAGGATTGACTTGATGCCCATGATAAGCTATTTAAGAAATCCTACGCCAGGGAGAAAGATTTGATCAAAGAAAACAAAGAAGTAAGAGCCAAGTTGAAAGAGATAACCAAAAGGGAGATGCGGGCGAGAGAGGATCGGCATCAAAGCCCGAGAAGGAAGACTGGCAAAATTAGGATTACTGATGAAAAAGTGTACCGACAGAAGAAGCCTCAGATCCAGGAGGAGGACACTTGGAAGCAGTATATCAACGAAGAGCTCAACAATCGTTTGAAGAGACCTGAACAGAGGTCGGCTAGGGATCTAGCCAAAAGAGCAACAGGAGAGTATGGAGACAGATTAGAGTCATCCCCATTTACTGCATGGGTCGAAAAGGCAGGGATCCCGAGCAAGTTCACTGTTCTGAACTTCAAGCTGTACGACGAAAAAATCGACCCAGCCTCATATATCAGACATTTTCGACAACTCATGACCATTCACCTAAGAAACGAGTCATTGTTTTGCACTATTTTCCTAGCAATCTTGGAAAGTCAGCCATGAAATAGTTTGACAGCTTACCAAAGGGAACAATCGATGGGTGGTCTCAGTTGGCCGAGCTGTTCACGGGTCGGTTAATCACCCGTAGTAAACAGCCAAATGACGTTGAGGCTTTACTAACATTGAAAAAGAGGAATAACGAAAGCTTACGCGAGTATGCCCATCGCTATTGGGAAACTATAAATGAAGTTGAAGGGTGTAATCCAGAGATTGCAGTTGCGTCTTTCAAGATCGGGTTACCAAAAGAAAACCCTTTATACCAGTCCCTCACGAGAAGACCTGCTACCGACCTGGAAGAATTGATGGCAAGGATTGAAAAGTACGTCAAGGTTGATGATGACTTACCCAGGGAGGTGGTTAAGGAGCATCCGAGCAGAAGACAGTTCGGTAGGGACAAGCAAACTGAGTCGAACAGAGAAGGGGAAGGAAGTTTGAGAAAGAAGGATACCCCCAAAAGTCCCCTTTTCTTGGGGTAAATACACTGTTTAAAAAATCGATATACAAGGTGCTGAATCAGA